ATCATGTTTTAACAATTTCTAGAATATTCTAGATTTATATTACTGTATAAATACCCTGTCAATTCGATGCATAGAGATACTTTTGTCGTATGAGCACCATTGAGATACAACTGGGATATATTTTCACTGGGACATTGTGTGCAGCAACGGACACTCTGATGTATGTATTTTTAGATTCTTGCTAAGTTTGTACTTTATGTTTCATATACTTACAATATATTACTGTAAATAAATTATTGTTAGGTTTAAATTGTGTTATTGATCTTTGCTGGCATTTAAGGTTATTCTGACCCATAACAGAATAGGGGGCTCGTCCGGGATAAAGAATTTCTTGCACTTTTGCAGTTTATTGTCAGAATTTTGTTTATTGAACCGTTAAATTTGATTATAAGCCAGCAGAAATCAACATGGTGTTTTCGGTCACAGACTTTCTTAGTTCACCAAGTGTTCAGTTTTTTGATACGTTAAAAAAGGATGACTTGATCGCATTAGGTTTGCATTTTGGGTTAGATGTTAAATCCTCTCAGAGAAAGCAAGACATTAGAATTAAGGTTGCAAACAAACTAGTAGAAGAAAACATCTTTGAAAAATACGATCTTCCAGAATATACAGTTAAATCAGAGTTAGGCTCTTATAAAATGGCAGAATATCAGTTTCAATTAGAGTTAGAGAAAATGCGACTTGAAAGAGAAAAATTAGAAAGAGAAGAGCGAGAAAGAGAAAGAGAAAGAGAAGAACGACAGCGTGAACGAAAATTTGAATTAGACAAAGTAGAAAGACAAAAGCACTTTGAATTAGAGAAATTAAGATTACAGCACCAACCAGAACCGTCATTTGTCAAGACTGAATTTGATGCAGCAAAAAATATTAGGTTAGTTCCAAAATTTCAAGAAAAATCTGTAGACAAATATTTTCCCCAATTCGAAAAAGTCGCAGAGAATCTTAAATGGCCACAAAATGTTTGGTCAACAATGTTACAAAGTGTACTGGTTGGAAAAGCGGCTGAGGTATACTCTGCACTAGGGGTAGCTGAGAGTTCAGACTATGAGAAGGTCAAAGCATCAATATTAAAAGCATATGAATTAGTACCTGAAGCGTATAGACAAAAATTCAGAAAGTATAGGAAGTTTGATAATCAAACATTTGTTGAATTTTCACGAGAGAAAGAAGATTTATTCGATCATTGGTTTAGATCTAAGAAACTTGATAAAACTTTTGCTAATTTGCGCCAAGTCATCCTGGTAGAAGAGTTTAAGGAATGTGTTTCTCAAGATTTGAAAACACATTTAGAAGATAAGAATGTGAAAACTCTTGAAGAGGCAGCAGTCATATCTGATACTTATGCTCTGTCTCATAAAAAGAATTTTGTATCAAGATCTCAGACTAGCAGTAATTCTACCAATTCAGACACATATAAAAAGAGTGGTTCAGGGTCTCAGTCTTCCACAAGTCTCCAGTTTCCATCACAAGGTGGTTTTAAGTCCGGTCCAGGACGTGTTGAAGGATCATGTGGAATAGGGTCGCTTCCTACTTGTAGTTATTGTAAGAAAAAAGGTCATCTGATCAGTGAATGCTTTAAACTTAAGAGAAAAAATGATTTTGATAAAACTCAACCACACGCTTGTGCGGCAGTTGGAGGTGATAGAGAAGCATTAGTTTCGATTTGTTCTGACACTCCTGATGTCCAGGGTTCACAGTCCAGTTCTATTGATTCTATGGAGGATTATAAGCCCTTTATGTCTCAGGGATTTGTTTCACTCGGTGACTCTAGCGAAATTAAACCTGTCCAGATTTTGAGAGATACTGGTGCTGCACAGACTTTAATGTTAGAGAGCGAGCTTACTCTGTCTGAGCAGACATATACTGGTGGGTCAGTTTTATTACAGGGCGTGGAGCTAGGCGTCATTGACGTTCCCCTGCATAGAATTTGTTTGAAGTCAGATTTAGTTACTGGACCTGTTACTGTAGGAGTTCGACCTACTCTTCCCGTTCCAGGCATTTCTTTGTTGTTAGGCAACGATTTAGATGGTGGGAAGGTTGTACCTGATCCTATAGTTTGTGAGAAAATCACTTCCAATGTCATGTGCGATGATGAAGATGATGACATTTATCCAGCCTGTGCTGTTACTAGAGCGATGGCCAGAAGACGAGAAATGGAGGCAGACCATACTCAAGCCTTTGACGAGACGAATTCCTCTGTTGATATTGATTTGAATGACACTTTCTTATCTGACCTTGATGGCACTCGAACAAGCATGGAACCACACCATATCAAGAAGCAAGAGAAGAAAGAACTTTTACCAAAATTTGGTGGTGAGGATGATGAGTTGCATCCACTAGTTAGCCAAGGCAAGGACATCCTCAGCCTAGAACGTTTACTCTCTGAACAACATAAAGACCCAGATATCATTCAACTTAGTAAGAGGGCACTTCCACCAGAAGAGACCACTAAAGTTGGAGAATGTTTCTATTTGAAAGATGGCATCCTTATATGCGAAAATCGAGACCACCTGACGCTTCTCCAAATGAAGTGTGGCGTGTTGTTCTGCTTATCGTCGAGATGTCATGAGTTTAGCTCACGATACACCTATGGCTGGTCATTTAGGTATCAATAAGACTTATAATAGGATTTTGAGTCATTTTTATTGGCCTAAGCTAAGAAAGGATGTTTCGAAGTTTTGCAAGTCATGCCATGTCTGTCAGATGGTAGGTAAACCAAATCAGAAGATACCATCTGCTCCTCTCCAACCCATTCCAGCTTTTGAAGAACCGTTTAGTCGAGTGTTGGTGGATTGTGCAGGACCTTTGCCTAGGACTAGATCTGGGAACCAGTATTTACTTACCATTATGTGTACATCCACTCGATTTCCTGAAGCCATACCTCTTAGGAATATAAAGGCAAAGAGCGTAGATAAGGCCCTAACCAAGTTTTTCAGTTTTGTAGGAGCACCCAAGGCAATTCAGTCGGATCAAGGCTCAAATTTTATGTCGGGGTTGTTCCAGCAAGTCATGCATGAGTTGGGTATAAGGCAATATAGATCAACTGCTTATCATCCTGAGTCCCAGGGAGCGCTAGAACGTTTTCATCAAACCCTAAAAACTATGCTGAAGACCTATTGTTACCAGTATGAAAAAGAATGGGACGAAGGTGTTCATCTTGTGCTATTTGCTGCACGAGAAGCAGTCCAGGAGTCTCTTGGGTTCAGTCCTTTTGAATTGGTGTTTGGTCATACAGTTAGAGGACCTTTGAAATTGTTGAAGGAAAAGTGGTTGACTGAGACTAGTGATCTTAATCTTTTAGATTATGTGTCTGATTTCAAAGAAAAACTTTACAATGCTTGTAAATTAGCACAAGAAAATTTGAAGAGTTCTCAGATGAAAATGAAAATGTGGTATGACAAAGATGCCAGAAATAGGGTGTTTAAGCCAGGTGATAAGGTTCTTGTATTTTTACCTATTCCTGGTCATCCTTTACAGGCCAGATATTACGGCACTTATGAAATTGAAAGCAAGATTAGTGATGTAAACTATGTAGTTAAGACACCAGGTCGACGTAAAGAGAAACGGGTTTGTCACATAAACATGTTGAAAGAGTATCGTAAACATACTAGATTTTGTATTAATGTACCTATGTTTTAATAATATAAGTTTTCATTGACATTCAAACTTTTTAAGGGGGGAGGTGTTGTGAGATGTGTACTGTTTCATTATGTATATAATTAGTAACATTAAATTTCTTGAACATTCCAGAGTGGTCATCATGTTCGGTCATTTTATCTAGAACATTCTTAAATTTTGTGTATGTCCAGATTGTTCCAGTAATATCATGTTTTAACAATTTCTAGAATATTCTAGATTTATATTACTGTATAAATACCCTGTCAATTCGATGCATAGAGATACTTTTGTCGTATGAGCACCATTGAGATACAACTGGGATATATTTTCACTGGGACATTGTGTGCAGCAACGGACACTCTGATGTATGTATTTTTAGATTCTTGCTAAGTTTGTACTTTATGTTTCATATACTTATAATAAATTACTGTAAATAAATTATTGTTAAGTTTAAATTGTGTTATTGATCTTTGCTGGCATTTAGGGTTATTCTGACCCATAACATAGAGCAGACACTAACCACTGCGCCACGCGGACGATGTGTAACGTGTGAGGTATACAGTTTGTTTAAGCGTATTTTGTTTTCAGAAATGTACATTTTTCTTATAGAATGGGTTCAGATTCATTTTAAAAACATTAAATTGACTTTACATATATATTTCTGTCTTTAAATGATTAATAAGGAATGGACACTTGACACATTCATGTTCAAAATTCATTTTTATGACACCAATAAACACATTTTCCACTAAATATGCTTAAAAGTCAATTTTAAAAACGGATTATCAATTAAAAAGTCTTAAAATAAATTAAATTAATCAAATGTGTTGAAGATAGCAATACTGACTGAAAATATAACTTAACTTTAAAAATTGAGAAATATCTTGTAAAAGAGCCGGGGGTGCCCTTGCCTTGTACACCCTCTTTATTGACGAGCTTTTATTTTCAAAAAGTTTCCATTTTGCATTTGAACATTTGTCTGACTGCCGTGTGCAGTTTCTAAACAGTTCATATTTCGACTTCTCCAGAACCACTTCAAACAAATTTACCATACATATTCAAGTATCCTAGGTTAAAAGGAATTCAGTACTGTTAACTGAAGAGCCATGTGATGTTTTTCAGGGGAAACAACCCTAGAATTCATGAAAATATGGTGGTATGTTATAAAAATCCTCACCGTACAAACCATCATTTGTTAGGAATATATTATTCAGTTCATTTCAATCAATAACCTGATTTTTTTTGTGCTCTAAATTGAATTGTACATTTCAATTCTAATGAAGTAATGCTATTGCTTATGGGCTAACATTTGCGAAGCTGCTTCGTTGATAGGTGAGTCGAAAGAAAGAAGATTGAAACAAGAAATACGTAATAAAAAGATATAGAATTTTTCCATTTATTAAGCAAGGAAATTCCTTTTTACAGACATATCAGATCTATACACTATAGATCTTTAGGTCACGTGTGACATTTCTGCAAAGTGTTGTCCATGTTCAGTAGCGTCCGTAGCAAGGACATACTCCCCTACATGCCAATGGGACACCACTGTTGATAAAAGAACATTAATGTAAATTTTTATCTTGTATAAACTCCTTTTTCAATATAAAAATGCTTTGGAAGGTCTGTAATTTTGTAAAACTCTAATCTGTTGAAACATTTTGATAACATTTTGATCGAGTAAGAATCACGAATTTAGCTGTTTGTACAATTATCATTATAGTAAAAGTTTTCTTTTCCATGTGAGGAAAATTAGATTGTGAAACCACTTCTTATATATATATATATATATATATATATATATATATATATATATATATATATATATATATATATATATATATATATATATATATATATATATATATATAAATGATAACTTTTCATACAAGGGACATTGTTCCAGTTTAGGTTTTTTCTATACATTGTATATACGTTTACTTGATCTTAAATAAATATGATGAAAATATATTAAATTTTTTTTAACATACGCGCATGCCAGGCATCCAGTATTGGAATACGTCTGTCCGTCTACACCACACACAGGATCCCATACTTGAATACAAACACATCCACCATTGTTGGGATAATATCCTACAAAGGAAATGAAATGTCGAATCTATTTTCACATCCACCGATTTTTTTCCTTTCCCTAGCAATCTTATTGTAGAATTTTTTTTTTTTTTTTTTTTTTTTTTTTTTTTTTACAAATACAAATACTTTATTGGCACAAACACAATTACAATAATTGGCAAAGGCCCACTTAATATCATTAAATAATGTTAATCTTATTGTAGAATTAAATGATGGAAAAATCCAAACAAATAAAAGCCTTTTTTGATATACAATTACTTAATAATGTATATTTCTTAATAAACATTAGGAAATAATAATCGCGACACGCACCACTCGCAAAATAAAATTGCTTGCTTTGATTTTCATGGTGCTGAAACCAAAATAAATCTGTTTATCAACTGTCTTCTTGCAAAGTATTGTTCTCGCGATGTGACGGTAAAGAGTCATTTCGTGATAATAACTGCCCGCTTAAAGTAAGTTATCTACAGTACTGTCAAACGTAAACTACGTACCTTAAATATCAAATTGCAAAATCGACCGTATTTCACTCACTTTATTAGAATTCATCTAATATTCAGATATGAAAAAGCGAAAAAAATGTTTAAGTAATCGTTATTTACATAATTATGTACATTTATGATCCTGCAAAATCGCAAAAGGAAATCTGGGTTATTACAAATAGTGAAATTATTTTCTTGTCTCAAAATAGAAAAAAAAACCTTGACGATTTAACATGTAATTAATTTGTTTTGAAAGATGTAAAATAAAAAGTGACTCAAAATATTTGTATATCAGAAATATATAAATATTTAACTTCTTAATACATTAACACATGACAAACTTTATGAAATAATGCAAAAAAAAAAATCGATATAAACACGCCATTAGCTATTTAATTAGAGCACGTTCAAAAAATACAAATAGGACAATTGTACAAAACTTGATATTTTTTCTTCACTGCTCTATGATTTCAAATCTATTTTGAAACGTAGAAAAATAATAATTTTTACTCAAGTAAAACTAAAAAAAAAATTTCGAATATATTTTAGTATCGTTGTAAATAATGACATCGCAGGGTTTATAAAACTTGCATTTTAAAATATTGAAACTTTGTCAAAAGTGGTTTAAAATTATGTGGAGAGTAAGGTGTTGATTAACGGCATTTGTCTATTCTATGCTTGAAAATTCATTCTCTTGACCTTGAGAGTGCAGTTTACATAATCTTGACATGAATTTAAATCAAAAGATGTTACATTTAAATGTAATTTGTTCTTTTTTGTCTGGTACTTATTGAATGTTAAATTGACCGTAGTCTGTGAAACATTAGAATTTGACATTTTACTGTAGATTTAGACTTGTGTAAAATATTCATTTCTTGTTATGACAGTGCTCTGTTTGACACAAATGAGATCTCAAAGTAGGATATTGAATAGTCATTAATTACTAAATATATGAATAATAGACTAAAATGTATCACTATTTAGTAAAATAGACAAGTTTAAAAACCGTTAAACAATTTATGTAATATAAACAAGGACATGTATCATAAACGATATTTTCTGAAATGATAATTGTTCAATATTTACAAAAGTAATTATTCTATACTAAACTTAAACTGAAAAAAATTAAGTACCGATATTTTTAATTTTTTTATTGATCTTCTTCCTATTACAATTGCATTTTTTTTCAATACTGAAACTCTGCCTTAAGTGGAGAAAACTCATCAGCGAAGAGTATAGGTTTTTTGATCCATGATATTTGTCTATCCCTTGCTTGAAAATCCGTACGCGTAAGATTGACAGAGAGGTTAAAATGGAAGATGTTGCACTTTAGGGCCAACCAATATTCCTTTGGTTTGCCTACTGCTTATAGTGTGTTGAATAAATTTTAATCTTTATATGTTAGAAATGGACGACAATTTTCTGTTGTTAATGCCACTTAACATATTTTATATTACAATCTTTTAAAAACATTAAGAACTGAAAAAGCCCCGGTTTTATTGACCTACCTTCACTGGGGGCTACCAAGAACAGGGCCACACACACCAAAATGACAGTACTTCCTCTAAACATTCTGGATACGTCCTGAAGATTACTGTTGATATAGTTTTAATATTCTCAATTTATAGTTGCTGTTAGCTCCTCCCACTACAAGGAATTTTGTTTTGCTGACTTGGAATTCCAATATTGAAAGTACCTGTACGGAAAAGTTTTCAAGGTTCCACAAACCACTGATGGGGGCATCATCATCATTCACCTTGTTAATTAAATCTACCTATGTTATTATGAGGATACATAATGTTTTATGCATAATAATATTCATTTTCCAAAATTACATCATAACTATAAGAATTTTTTGTTTAATTGCTTATATTTATTAAGCACTCGGTGGTTCTTAAATATGTTTGAAATGGGCAACCCATTAATGTCCCGACCAGCATTTTAATGAAGTAGACCAAAACGCTTGTTTTCTTTTTCATCTTTTGACATATTGCATTGTTTCCTCAAGGTACAATATTACTTTTTTTTTATTTTCATAATTCATTTTCTTATTTCTTCCTCTAAATATGATAAGTGTTTGTCAAAGGCTTAAAAACTTAAGTGTGGTTACTGGTTCTTAATATAACCTGGTCTTCTGAATCAAAATTCATAAAATCTTTATTTTGTTATTTCCAATAATATTAACTTCAGAAAACACACACACACACACAGAGAGAGAGAGAGAGAGAGAGAGAGAGAGAGAGAGAGAGAGAGAGAGAGAGAGAGAGAGAGAGAGAGAGAGAGAGAGAGAGAGAGAGAGAGAGAGAGAGAGAGAGAGAGAGAGAGAGAGAGAGAGAGAGAGAGAGAGAGAGAGAGAGAGAGAGAGAGAGAGAGAGAGAGAGAGAGAGAGAGAGAGAGAGAGAGAGAGAGAGAGAGAGAGAGAGAGAGAGAGAGAGAGAGAGAGAGAGAGAGAGAGAGAGAGAGAGAATGAGAGAGAGAGAGAGAGAGAGAGAGAGAGAGAGAGAGAGATGATTTTAAAATTTTAAATGTTTTATAAATATGTTTGAAATGTTATTTCAATGAAAATCCTCCTCTCAATACCTTATGACATCCCCATTACATATCCAATATGAATGCTGGCAAGTGCAAAAAGTAGTTTTCCACACAGCTAAAAAATACATGATGAGATTGAAGTATGAATAAACTATATCATATCTGAAGGGTCTTAAAAAGGGCCACGTAAGGTATTCAGCCAAATCAGAATCATTCTCTTTAATTTCCTTGTTAAATGAAAAGAAAAGGTATTCTTTCGTATTTACAAAGTTGTTTAGATAGTCTGAACACATTTTCATAAAACATTTAAAATTAGAATTAGCCATTGAAATGAGCTAGATGCCTGTCAACTATAAATTGGAAAAGTTAATATAAGTTAATCGCGTTATTTTTCTTAAACAGATAATTAATTTCCTCCATGTTCATATGCATTGGCAAAATGCCACAGTGAAATGCACATTAATTTTATTACAAAGTACCGAGATCATTGACACTAGCAAATTTACAGCTTTTTATCTTACTTAAAATACATGATGAATTATGCATTTAAAAATTGTAACAATCAAATCATTAAGCTGAACAACACACTTAATAGAGCAATAAGTAAAATTTTACTACACAGAAACATGCTTACAAAATTATTTTAAGTTTCCATGTGTTTTTAAAGACGGTGTGTGATGTTATGTAATGTCTTCAAGTGTCCTGTTTAGAACATGGTGTCGCCATATCAAATGACAAATGATAAATATTGCAATTGATATAATAGCATTGGCCTCTCTCTAATGAAGAGATATTAATGTTATTTAAAAGAATGAAAACAGGGTAGATTACAACTGCCATTATACACAGTTATGTATCAGCTTAAGGTATTGTCTAGATTTAGTAATATTGCTAATCAATTTCCTGAATTAATGCAAAGTTAGATTAAGGGAAATGGTCTTTTGTAAATTTTACGCTCTACATTTTGTATGTTTTGTGTGGCCGCTTTCGCAAATGCGTTTGTTTGCATACCTACGCAAGATACACAATGCTTGAACTAAGAGCAAGCTAGTGTACACTATACTGAATTTGTGACCGACTTAAGATCAGAAAACCTATTTTCAATATTAATAAATCAAAAACGTTTGACATGAAATTAGCAAGTATTGTCACAAAGCTTGTAAGGTATCATAAACGTATGTCGACCCACTATTTTTCCGCTAAAATCAAGCAAGAGGATACGTTTTCTTTGAATTTCTTTCAATTTGTTAATATATTTTTTGTTAATCATGTGAAGGCTTCGAGGTTTAATTTCAATTTGAGTTCGTGTCTCTTGAATTTACAGATATAATTACATTGTATGGTGTCATTAGTATATACTCTTTTATTTTATATATACCAATGATACGATGACATTACTGTAAAATCAAATATTTTCGTTGGGTCAAATTTTCGTGGTTTGAGTTATGCCTTTGCTTATTGGACAACTTTGCAAAGCTGCTGAGTTGAGTTGGAGGGAGAAAAAAAAATTGAAACACAAAAAAAGTAATAAATAGATTAAGAATACCTTTTGTACTAAACAAGGAAATATTTTTTACAGATATAAGAGACTGCACTCTAGATCTTTTAGGACACGGCGGCATTACTGTGAAGTGTTGTCTCTTTTATGTTCAGTAGCGTTGTCTGTAGCAAGGGCATTCTCCTCTAAAAGCCATGGGAACACCACTGTTGATAAAAGAAAATTAACGTAAAATTTGATCTTTTATAAAA